GCTACCACGCCCAGCTGATTTTTTTTTTTTTGATTTATTGTAGAGATGAGGTCTCGCTGCCCAGGCGGGTCTGGAACCCGCGGGATCAGGCATTCCACTCACCTCAGCCTCCCAAAGGCGCGGGATTACAGGCTGAGCCACCAAGCCCGGCTAAAGTTGAACTTCTTGAGACCACAGAAGTTGGGCAAAATAAACAAGTTGCCCACCCCAGTAGTCAAACGTTGATCCCAGGTGGCAAACCCAACCCAAGTATGTCACCAAATGAGAAAATAATTTGTGGTTGGAGCAGAATGCTGACCCTAAAAACTCAGAAAGTGAGACTGGTTTGATGAGATCTTCTTTCCCAACACCCGTAACTCTTTCCTTCCTGCTTTCTGTTTTGTTGTCAGCTAGGTGAATCCTTGCTTAATAGAGCCCTCCCTCCTAAACTTTCTTGCTAGACTTCTACTGAAGCCAAACCAGATCACAGGAATTTTGTGTTTCCTTTTGGGAAACATCCATAGAGTCCTCTACAGCAATAAAAAAACTAATGATCTAAGCGATGGAAACGTCGTACAATCTCATCCTCATTTTGTCCATTTGGTATCTCTTTTTCCTCCTAGGGATGTACTGCCTTCCACTGTAGCTCCTGCTGACTCAAGACAGTTTTGTGCTCCTTCCCAATTTGGAACCTCCGTCCTACCAACTGCAAATATGCCAAGCGTGTTATCCAACCGCGTCTACTCAGGTATGAGCGATAGTTGTTGGCTCTCACCTGTGGAGCCTCTGTGAGTAGGATGGGTGCATTAAACTTGCCATCACTTTACTGCTAAATTTCGGAGGCAGGGCTGTGTGGCGATGCTGCTCGTAGATTCTGCAGTCGCTGCCTTGGTTCAGATCATGGTGCCACCCACTGTAAGACCAAGCCTAAGTTGCTTAACTCCTCTAAGCATCCGTTTACTCATGAATAACAAGAGGAACTGATGCGTTGTGAGGAGAGATCTGAGAAACCGTGGGGCCTGGGGCAGTCTATATTGGCCTGGTAGGTCATCGTGAGAACTTGGCTTTTATCCGGAGTATAAAGAGAAGCCATGGAGGAGTTGGAGCCAAGGAGTGACATGGTCTGACTTAAATTTTACCAGGATCACCCTCCCTGCTGTCCCCACAAACTTGAGAAGATCAAAGTTCTGGGAATAAGCAGGTGGAACTTAATGGACTATTAGAAGAGCTGAAAGGTTTCGATGGCTCAGCCTTGGGTGGTGGCCACAGGAGGAGGGACAAGTGGTTGGATCCCGTAGTTATTCTGATGGCAGAAACAGCAGAATTTCTCACCGTGTGGATGTGGATGGTGAAAGAGAGGGGTTAAGAATGACATCAAAAATTGGGAGCGAGTCCCCAGGGGGTGAGCCCAGGGCTCGGCTCACCTGTGATACCCTTGGGGAACCTGACAGACATCCAGCAGAGAGGACAGGGAGGCAGCTGGAGTCCAGGGAGGGCTTCTGGGGACAACCTGCGGGTGTAACTTGGAAGTCATCAGCCTACACAAAGCTGGACACGTCACCTATGGAGCGAGTGTAGATAGAAAAGCTAAGAGGATCATCCTGAGACAAGCAACAGTGTGCCAAAGATGAGGGAACAACCTGTGAGGCGGGAAGACCCAGGGAGGACGCAATGGCCTTAAGAACATGCCTTGGCCGAGCTCGGGGGCTCAGCCCGTCATCCCAGCACTTTGGGGATTGCCTGAGCCTGCAGGTTTGAGACCAGCCTGGGCAACTTGGCGAGACCTCGTCTCTACAGTAAAAAATAAAAAATAACTAGGCATGGTAGCACGCATCCGTAGTTCCGGCTACTCGGATCACTGGAGCCCAGAAGTTCGATGCTGGAATGGCCGTGAGCGTGTGTGCCCCTGTGCTCCAGCCTGGGCGACGGAGTGAGACGCCCACTCAAAAGAAAATTGTGCCTTATACAAGCAGCCAACAGATGCACAGCAAAATGCTCAGTCTCACTAATCCTCAAAGAAAAGCAAATGAAAACCACACTGAGATACCACCTAACTCCAGTCAGGGTAGCCATTATCAATAAGTCAAAAAACAACAGATGCTGGAGAGGAGGTGGGGAAAAGGGAACTCTTCTACACTATCGGTGGAGTGCAAACTAGTGCAACCTCTGTGGAAAACACTGTGGCGATTTCCAAAAGATCTCAAAATCAACCTTCCATATGACCCAGCCATCCCCCTTCTGGGGATATACCTGAAGGAACTCAAATCACTCCATGAAAAAGATATCTCACACGCATGTTCATGATAGCAAAAACATGGAACTAACTGTGCTCCCCATTGAAAGAGGACTGGATAAAGAAAATGCGATACATTTACACGATGGAATATTATGCAGTTATTAAAAAAACAAAATTATGGACTTCGCAGCAACTTGGATGGAATTAGAGTCTCTCATACTCAGTGATCTATCACAGAAACAAAGAACTGAGTACCCCATGTTCTCACTCATAGGCAGACCCTGAACAATTATCATAATACTATAAGAAAGGGATTGGCTGTCGTGGGAAACTGCCAGGGGAGGGGGGAGCACACTTCATCAATAAGGGTGCCTGATCTCAAACCAGGTGAAATGGGGACCCAAGGGAGGCCCAAACTTTACCCGTGCAATGACCATTTGCATACTTCATCCCGAATTGCACCCCACATCTTTAAAATAAAAACTTAAATTCAAAACTTTCAAGAAAAGAACATGTTTACGGGGAGAGTGAGCGATGACCTCGAGCGTGCCACTCGCAGAGCAAGTGAGATGAGAACTGAGAATGCGTCCTGGACGACGCACATGCAGACGACCTCGCGGTGAGCGATCCCGTCGCGTCGTCATGCTGGTGAAAAAGTGACTGATGAGGGCTCAGGAATGATTCGAGTTTCCCCACCACGCTAAAGAGCTCATCCTGCCAGAACGACACTCATGAGCCTTTGTTTGCCCTTCTCTGGAATTCCAAGAACTCTTACCAGACGGGGAAAATGTGAGAGACAAGCCTGCCACAGAAAGACTGGCTCCCAGGCAGCGGGGTGGTGGGGCCGGAGGGGAAGTCTGGGACGCCAGGAGACGGGCTGCCTGGATCTAACACGTCTCCTCAGATCTCGACCCCCTTTACCACAGGGAGAGCCAGATCCATGGCGAGGCTGGGCCTGAAACGGACCCACCCGAGGAAGGGGTCCCAGGACCAAAGGAGGCAGTCCTCACAACACCCCGGGCAGAAGCCCCACCTGGCAGCAAGAGCCTGGGAATCTGTAGCCCCCGATCTCAGGCCACACAGCTGACTCCCGAGAGCCACTCCTAATGATGAAGGATCCAAAAACTGTCGCTATTTGGACACACAAGCAAGCAGGTCGGCCACCTGTCCCAGGGACATAGGTCAGGTCCCCACCTCAAGGCAGAAGCATAAGAGAATAGCAGGACAGGGTCTGTAAGAGGCAGGGCAAGCTTCACATTGCCTGTTCAGAAAAAGACTAGCAATAATCCAGCTCTCAGAGGGCCTTAACATCCAGGCAATGAGTGTTGCGCCCTCTCGCTCCTGACACGAGCTTTCTCTGCATCCATGGGCTGCGTGCTGTGGGTCGATAGTCGGGTGCCTGCCAGCTGCCTGAAAGAGAATATCTTGACGCCACAGAATTCTAAAAAGCCTAGAGCTTTAGGGCTAGAAGGATTCCTAGAGCTCACTTTGTCTAACCTCTGAATTTCATAAATAACGAGAACCGCGTTTGTGAAAAGATCCAGTATGGTTTATCTGAAGCTAGATCATTGAAAGGAATGGAGTGAGCTCAACGGGCTTGGTGCAAAGGGAGTTTCAAAAACAGTTTCTGCCCTTGCAAAAGTTCCGTCTTATCAGGCAGAACAGACCCACACGTGAAGACCTGTCACTGCTCGGTTATGGTGATAAGTGCCGCACGTGTGCATGTCGCTTTTAGAGTGTGGTCTGTAGTGCTAGTCCATGCAGTGTGTGTCCAATAAGAGAGAGGAAGGGCTTAGACAATTGTGCGGCCGTTTGACAGGATAATTTTGTGTCTGTGAATCTAATAATCTAAAAGTCGTGATTGCATTGTCCTAGTTTGCATTTCGATCTCCTAGATTGTACTTTTTCACCGCGTCGGCCCGTGATGGGTTGGAAATATAAAAAGAACTGAATAAGGCCGGGCACAGTGGCTCATGCCTATAATCCCAGCACTTTTGGAGGTGGTGCTGAGGGGACTGCCTGAGCCCATGGGTTTGAGACCAGCTCGAGCAACTTGGTGAGACCTTGTCTCTACAATAAATTTTAGAATGTAACGGGTCGTGACGGCACATGCCTGTCGTTCCAGCTACGTGGAAGGCTGAAGTGGAAGGATTGTCTGAACCCAACAGGTGGAGGCTGCAGTGGCTGTGAGCATGCCACTGCACTCCAGCCTGGGCGACAGACTGAGACTCCCACTCAAAAAAAAGAAAAAGAAAAGACAAGCTGGTCACGCACCATAGACCGTCCACCTGAAAAACACCAGGTAGACTCCGAGTGCATTTGGAGAAAGGGCTGTCGGCACGACCTGAAGGCCCCGGCCAGCACGGGGACTTCAATCTGCTGTTCCGCTAAGTCATCTTGAAAGGTCGGCAGGAACAAAGGAATGCAACTTTTGCCCAACCTCACTGAGATTGTTCTGGAAAAAGTATTTTACCTCAGATATGTTGAAAGTCGACAAAGAGAAATTTGGGGCTACATAGAAAACCTTACTTAAATTCTCACTACATTTATTTTCTGAGACTTGGGCACAAGAAGAACTTTTTTTTTTAAAGGTCAACTAATTCTCATGTACAAAAAAAAAAACTATCAATTTTACTTCAAAAGCAAGCGGTCAAGGCAGGGGTAAATGAAAAGATGCTGTTTCCATTTAGTCAAGAGCAGTAAATCTGCGATCTGTCAGACAGCACAGGGACAGTGGTTAGCAATATACTGTACTCTTGAAAACTGCTAGGAGAGAAGATTTTAAATCTCACCACAAAAAAATGGTAAATATATGAGGTGATGCATATGGTAACTCGCTTGATTTTATCATTCCACAATAAAACATTACATTGTATCCCACAGATAATATACAATTTTGAAAGACTAAAAAAGACAAGAGATCAAGAGATTCACAAACGATTTCATCTTTTCCCTTTTGAAATATGACAGGAAAATGTCACCCATCACGAGACCAGCACTTAAAGAAAAGAACCAAAAATTACCTCGTGTTTATCAGGCTGTCACCAAAGTGGTTCCAAGATAAGAAGTAGCGGTGGCCTGATGCCATTTCCAACATTGTGTTCAACCGATGATTTGGGGGATTTTTTTTGCAGATACTGTTCTGAACCATATCTTATTTCATTATTTCAAATGCATGCTTTTAATGTGTTTGTGGGGTGGGATGGTGGTTTTCTCTTTTAAGGTTGGGGCATTTTACCACCTGAATCTATAAAGACGGTGGCCAGAAGGAACGAAATGATTCAAAGGCATCATCACACTGCCAGGTAATCCAGCAATGTGGCTTTACGTGTTTTTCTTTTCCTTCACCTGCTCATTTACTCTTTTTTATATATGTTTAAAAAATGAATATATACATGTGTGTGTATGTGTGTATATGACAATGAATACACACATACCCTGAGTACTTACAGAAAGTATTCCAGGCAGATTACAAAGAAACACTCAAACATATCCACAAGTTGACTGAGGATAGAAAGCAGGATTAGAAATCACCTGGTCAGGTGGACAGTGTATGAGTCTACACCGTGTAAAAGTTCATCCAGGTCCCATAATTAGATGCCTGGCTATGATTCCCCTGAGAGTCACATCGCAATTCCTGTCTTAAATGACTTCAGTTCTGCCCTGAGGTAGAAGCTGTTCAGACTCGGCCCTCAGCGGTCCGGCAGCCCCCCCTCAGCCCACCGGTGGCCTTCAGCCCTGGCGACAGGAGCAAGGACCAGGGCGTGGTCTGGGGTGGGAGAAGGCCAGTCCGTTTTCTCATCCCTGAACCCTAGCCAAAGAGTAAAGTGAAGCGAGCAAAATCACCAAGTCCCTCCACCCCCGCCATTTGCACTGACTTAAACGCTGAGACTTGCGTGGCCTGGTTGTCTTTCTGGAGTCCCACTGAGGTGGTTACAGCAGGATCAACTTCAGGGTTTACAAGTCTCTCCCAGAACTTCATGTTTTTGGAGGATCAATCTCTGGCAAGAAAGTCCCTGTGCTGCATGCTCCCACCCCTGCTGAGTCTCCATGTCTACTGGAGGCGAGGCACTGAGGTTGGCCTTAGACTTCCCTCGTGAGGCTTTTTCTTTCTCGCTTCCTTCCTTCCTTCCTTCCTTCAGCTCTCACTCCAAACTGTCCTTCCCTGGGGCTTTCTGGGGACTCGTGTTTCCACCAAACAAACCCCGGTGTGAGGACACAGGAACAGCAGAGTGGTGCTTAGGGAAGGCAAGAGGCCATGAGCATTCGTTCTATTTCCAGTGGTTTTCTTGGGTTGCCTGAAATGCATGGTTTTGTTTTCAGGACAGAAATGGAAATGTATGCTATTTACCAGCAACAGAGAATGGAAAAGACTCACCCCAAGGGGCTGGCGGGCCTGGGGACGCCATTCCCCTACGGCCCCCTGGTTCCAGCAAGCCCGGCTGCCTACCACAGCAGGAGCAGGTTCTCTGCCAGCGACCTCCATTTCCACCGAAGCGTCCTCAGAAGCCTCCAGGGAGGCCCCGTGCTGGCAGCAGCTGGACCACACTTTGTGGAGAGCTGGGGGCAGAAATGCCGTCGTCTCAGGAAAGGTGCAGGGGGTCAGAGAGGGCTAGACGGTGACCCCGAGAGCTCCAGAAGTCCAGCCAGAGAAAAGACCCTGGGCCAGACTCGTGCGGTCCCCTCCGAAGAGGACCCGTGTGCAGAGATGGAAGAACGCGACGGCCGGAGGTCAAGCGAACCCGAGGAAAGGGCGGCCGCAGCCCTCTCCAGCACCTGTGCGGGACTCACGCCCACCTGGGGGAAGCCACGGGGGCCCCACGCTGCCTCCCTGGAGGCCAAGGCCTGGTACGGCGGGGAGAAGCCACCTCCAGCGCAGGCGTTTGCGGCCTGCGGCGAGGACAGGGTCAGCCCTGCCGCTGGGCTGGCTCCATCTCCGCCAGGTGGGTGTCTGGGCCAGGGGCAGCTCCCCGGTAGCCAGACTCCCCAGCCCTCAGTGACTCCACGGCGAACGCAGCCATCACACCTCCTTCCAGCCTCTTTTTCTTACTCCTGTGTCGAATGGCCTCTGTTTGGTGCCACTTTATTATTACACCAGTTCTAGCGAGCCACGTCAGTGGAACTGTCTCTGTGTATGTACTGCCATGCAGAGAATTCTCAACAAAGTCTAGGGAGACGAGTGTCAGGAAGTCTGGGGAAACGTACCAGAATTTCTAGTTTATACTTCAATTCAATCTGCCGTCAATTTCTCCAACACAAAGCAGAGGGGCTTGTTGCTTTAAAGTATGCATTCCATCCCCTCTGCCTCCAAGTGTAGAAAAAACCGGGTAATTAAGTGGAGACAGTGCCCTTCAGAGCCCATGACTGTTGACACCTGAAAATATGAACGTGCTGCCTCCCAACACACACGAGATGGCTTTCTGGAACTTCAGATGAAAGTGTTTTAAGCCACATGAACTATGGGCGTCATGTGGCCACCATGCCAGCCGTTTCCCCACCATTTGATGAACATGTAACTGAAGTCTTGTCTCATATGGAGACATGATCACCACGTCCTATCCTAGAACAGCAACGTACCATCCTAGGACATGATCGCCACGTACTACACACTAAGGATGTAATTACCACGTCCCATCCTAGAGACACAACTACCACATACTATCCCAGGGACATGATCACCACGCACTACGTACTAAGGACACGATCATTACGTCCTGTCCTAGAGACACGACCACCACACCCTATCCTAGGTCACCACATACCATCCTAGGACATGATCACCACATACTAGACACTAAGGATGTAATTACCACGTCCCATCCTAGAGACACAACTACCACATACTATCCCAGGGACATGATCACCACGCACTACGTACTAAGGACACGATCATTACATCCTGTCCTAGAGACACGATCACCACACCCTATCCTAGGTCACCACATACCATCCTAGGACATGATCACAACATACTATACACTAAGGACACGATCACCACATCTCACCCTAGAGACGCAACTACCACATACTATCCTAGGGACATGATCACCATGTACTATATACTAAGGACATGATCACCACATCCTATCCTAGGAAGATGATCATCTTGCCTCACCTGGAGACACGATCACCTCATACTGTTGTGGAACATGGTGCTGCTCTGGAGGTTGAGATTCACAGGGTGTCTCTTTTGGAGACTGAGAGGGGCTAGAGCAAGTTTGCAACTCGCTTGTTGATCTGTAGCAATGCTGTTCTTAACACATCCTGCTTGCTCTCAGCCGCCCCTTTCCCTGGGAACCCCATGCCACAAAACAGTCTGCTTTCTATTTTAAGGGCCACGTGTGCCGGCCGCCACGGGGGACAGCCTCGCCCTGGATGAGGACATTCAGAAGTGGAGCGTGGATGATGTGCATCGCTTCATTGGTGGTCTCCCGGGCTGCTCGGACTACGCTCAGGTGCTTGACGTTTAAGCATTGCATAAAGTAAGACTGTTTGGAACAACTGTCCCACACAATCATTTTTCAAACTTGCATTTTTGTCCGCAGAGAGGAGTCCTTCGAGTCCCTCCTTTTGATGCCCCGTCCCCCGGGACGGGCGCCTCTGACTGGCAGAGCTCAGGGCACCCCAGCACCCGCGTCTGTGAACACCGGGTTTTAGTTCCTTTCCCATCAGGACTCCTGAGAAGCAGGAATTCTCCCCAAATTAAAAGGAGACCCAGAGGCTGAACATTCAGAAAGAATGAGACATGCTTGCTACATTTCCTCTTCATCTTAGAGCAGACATTTGCAGAACACGTACTCTGTCCCAGAAGTTTTTGCTTTTATTTTTTATGTTTTATTATTGTTTTAAAGCAGGATTTATTGAGAGGACAGAAAAGCTCCCACAGTGGGAGGGGACCCAAGGGGGTCGCCCTGTATCAGAAGTTTTTAGTTGCTCATCAGAAACAACAGAAAAGGACAAGAAGGCCGTAGATCTGAAATGAATTGTTTTTGAAACAATTTTGATTTCTAATTTTAGTAGGAAATCGATTGTTTTTAAAATCTGTATTTATGCTGGGACGGTGTAGAAAACGCACGCGCATACACATCCTTCAATCTGGTAGATAAGTTCTATTTCTTAGAATTATGACGAACTGGCAGGACAACGGTGAAGCAAACTAACCTCATTTGTGTGTGACAATTGGTGACGTCACTTCCAAAGCTATGAAGTTATGTCAATGCTGCGTTTCCATGCGTGTAGCTGACTTTTTTGAGTGATTTGATAACACAATTCTAAGCCACAAGGTGCCTACAAAATCTGATATCATGTTTGATTTACATGTTCAGGCAAGAGAAAGACACAACGGTCTAACTACGTCTTAATGAACCAACGCTAGCGTTGATTTTGTTCAGATCTCAGTTTCATGAAATGTTTCTCCTATGTGTGATGCTGGTAATTTCTTTTTTTCTTTTTACTGGTTATTGTTGCTATTGTATTGGTTCTGTTTGTGGGACATGAGGAAAAGCTACCTAGAACAGTAACTAAAAGTATAGCTTCTGAAGCCAGAAAGTACAAACTCACGTCCTGGCGTTTCCATTTTCTGGGTGTATGACCTCGAACAAGTTTCCTCTCTTCTCTGTGTCTCAGTTGTCTCTTCTGTAAAACAGGGATAACAGTAATCATATATTTTCAAAGGCTTGTGAGCATTAGAGAATGCCTGGCACCTTGCAAGCACTCCGTAAATACTGATCTCATCATTGTATCCTTAAGTACTAGAGAGAGCAGAATCTCAAGTTACTTATGAGGCAAATTGTAGTCAAGTCACCCATTTTTGTCTTTTTGCATAATCTGATAAAAAGATGTTATCCTATTCTCCCCTGTTCAGCCTTATTATTTTGTTGTTAATATGGGTCACTTTTTAAATAAGGCCAGGTGCGGTGGGTCGTGCCTGTAATCCCAGCACTATGAGAGGTCGAGGCAAGAGAATTGCTTAAGCCCAAGAGTTCAAAACTAGCCTGGGCGGCATCGTGAGACCTTGTCTCAAAATATTAAAAAAGAAAGAAAGAAAGAAAAATTTGCCTGTGCCACTTCTCAAGGGTCACATCAACCCCTGTACAATGAAGTACTAAATTCTGATAACAACCAGAAACAAGCAAACCTTACAGAGCCAGCAGGCGCTTGCTGACTCCTGGTGGGCTAAGCCCATCTGAACTCTGAGTATTCTTAGTCAGTGATCCACAGTTATAAAAGTGCAGTTTATAGCAGCTGCTCTTGCAAAGAATGATGTTTCATACATTTCTTGCCGTCTTACCCAAGCGTCCCCACATGGGTTCATAGAGTCGCATCAACGTGAATACCCCAGACCTTGCTAGGTCAGAATCATGGACTGTATGTCATTTTGCAAGTGGTTTAACTGGCAACTCAACCTTTCCTGCACTGGCTTTCCCATTCGTAAAAATAAAAAATAATAATAATAATATCTACTCTTTGTGGGGCATGACCGTGTGCCAGGCACTGTACTAGGTACCCCATCTTTTAAATATAATTTATACCGTGATTCTGCAAAAAAGATATTAACTCTACCTTGCAGTTGGGCAAAACTGAACCTCAAGTCAGTAAAAGAGCAAGTACTTGAAATATGTGGGCTGAGCGCAGTGGCTAGGCCTGTCATCCCAGCACTTTGGGAGGCTGAGGCGAGAGCATTGCCTGAGCCCGTGGGTTCAAGACCAACCCGGGTGACATGGCAAGACCTTGTCTCTACAATAAATTAAAAAATTAGCCGGGTGTGGTAGCGCACGCCTGTAGTTCTGACTCCTTGGAAGGTTGAAGTGGAAGGATCACCGTAGCCCAGCAGGTCGAGGCTGGGGTGACTGTGAGCGTGCCACTGCACCCCAGCCTGGGCGACAGAGTGAGACTCCAACTCAAAAAGAAAAAAGAAGAAAAGAAAAATGTGGCAAACTTCTCTCTTTCCATTATAATTATTCTGCATTGAGGATACCTGGGCGCCTAGAACCTCACAAAGGTGGTAAAAGAAATCCTTATGTTGTTTTTGTTTTGTTTGGTTTTTGTTTTTATTAATTTAGTCGTTTTTGAGACAGACTCTCGCTCTGTCACCCAGACTGGAGTGCAGTGGTGCAATCCTAGCTTACTGCAGACTCTAACTCCTGGGCTCAGGCAATCCTCCTGCCTCAGCCTCTCGAGTAGCTGGGACTACAGACATGCACCATCACACCTGGCTCTTATGTTGTTTCTGATATTTAAAAAACACAAGAAAAATCATACACTTCCCCAAGATAAGGCTATACAGACCAACCCAAACTGCCAGCTTTTGTCTTTGGTCTAAATTAAGTGAATGTATGCTGGTCATTGTCCATGATTTGTCTAATTAAAATAGGGAAAGAAATCATCACTTAATGAGCATACTTTGTAAATGACTGAAGCCTGTGGAACACGAGCCTTCTGGCACAGGCGCTTTCCTGGAAGTCTGTCCGGCTGGTCCTGAGGTTGCCCTCCAGGACACGGCCCCGGAACAGACACAGGACAGATGCGGTCCTCCTCTCATGGAAGATGGACACCGGCACGCCACCCCACCTCGAGGCATGCGTGCTGCATGCGAGAGGCGGACGAGGCCTGGCGGCACTCGTGGGAGGGACTCGTGGCCTCTTGAAGGACGAGGCGTCTACCGCGAGGCCTGAAGGGGAAGGGGGCAGAAGGGAGGGCGAGGAGGCATTCCCAGGCAAGGGAGAGACGCGTGCGGCCGGGACTTGGAGGGTCGCGCCAGGAGCGCAGAGGGAGACCACGGCGGGAGAGGTGAGGACGGCGTGATGAGACTGCGGGGCAGACAGGCCGGGCCACAGAGCCCCGAAGACCCGGGAACGGTTGCGATGGTGCCCTGGAGGCCGTGGGCAGGAGCGGCACCATTCGCTTTGTATTTCGGAAAAGGTCACTCAGGCTGCTTTTATGAGAACAGATTGAGGGGGGCACGTCTGAGGGGATGCCTCTTCAGATGAGCAATCGTGGAGTTCGGTCCAGGGTAGAAGCCGTAGGCTGGTGGGTGAGCCCTCGTTGTAGGGAAGAATCGCACAGTGTCACCTCTGAGGTGAAGACTCCTAGCAGGGAGCCATCAGCATAGAGTCCCTGAGGCCCAGGGAGAGGTGATGTGAGCCAGGAAGAAGCCCAAGAAGCCCTCACGGGCGTCAGCTGATGGCTGAAGGAGAGGGCAGTGGCCTGGTGCGACCGCCACGGGAAGTCCAGGGGAGAGTGTTGCCCATGAATGCACAGCCAGTAAGGTCAAGTGCAGCCAGGGACCCCAGCACCAACTGGACGACCAGAACGTCCGCCCTGAGGAGAGCCGGCTCAGGGGAAGATACTCGAGACTGCAGGATGACGGGATGCGTGTGAGAGCCCAGAGTTCAGAGCCCTCTGAGGAATCTGGCCGTGAGGGGACTGAGGCCCACGGGGGGTGTCCAGAGAGGAGTTTGGGAACCTGCATTACTGCTGTGTGTTTAAGGGTGGGGGAGGCTTCCTGAAACACCAGCGGGAAGGAGTCAGCAGACGAGGAGGGGCGGAGACAAAGGGGGTCCTCGGCGAGGGAGGCCCTGGCGGGGCCGAGAGCACCACGGCCCCCGAGGAGAGGCCTCTCAGCAGGGCAGGGAGCCCCATTCCGTGGCGTCAGGACAGAGGGAGAAAATGAACACTGCAGGCTCATTGCTAGGAGTTGGAGGGAGGTCCGTCCACGTTTCCTTTCCTGTTCTTTTTCTCTGGAATTGGGTAGCCATATGGCCTGCTGAAAGCGAGGGAGGCCTTTGGGGGTCCCAGGCTCGAGGGGGTGGAGGACGCTCGGAGCAGAAGGGAGAGAAATCTCACGAGTGAGCAGAGCAGGGTTGCCAGGAAGCTGAGGCTGGAGGTCACGGAACCACGGCCCTGTCGGTCGGCCTCTGTATCTGCCGGGGCTTGGTCCACCAGCAGCCTCCCTGGCGTGGAAGAGGAGGCCGGCATGGCCACGGCCACCAGAGGCGGGATAACAGGCCTGCTGAAAAGGCCTGAGGGTCACAGCTGTCCCTTCACCAGACATGCAAGGCGGTGGGCAGGAGACTCCACCTGCGAGAGGGGAAATGAGATCCATCTTGATGGGGTCTCCCTTCACCCTAAATGAGGGGTGGGCAGCACCCTCCCCCTGCGAGTGGGAGGGATGAGGTCTGTCTTGCTGGGGTTCACCCACATCCCTTTTCACAGAAGAGATGCCCGTTCGTTGGCTACTCTGGCAACGTTTGTCGCACATCTTCTGCCACATGTCAGCTACAGCACTAGGGGACATTGTTCAATAAGACACGGACCCTGCCCTCAAATTAAAAACTATCTCAGAGCCGGGCTCGGTGGCTCAGGCTGTAATCCCGTGCCTTTGGGAGGCTGAGATGAGTGGATTGCCTGAGCCCGCGGGTTCGAGACCCGCCTGGGCAACTTGGCGAGACCTCATCTCTACAATAAATCGAAAATGAGCCGGGCGTGGTAGCGCGCACCTGTAGTTCCAGCTACTTGGAAGGCTGAGGCGGAAGCATCGCCGGAGCCCAGCAGGGCGAGGCTGCGGGGGCCGGGAGCGGCCACTGCACTCCAGTCTGGGCGACAGAGTGAGACTCCAACTCAAGACAAAACAAAACAAAACAAAAAACACTATCTCGGGTTGGAAATGAGTCCTGTGTGCAGAGACTGGCCGTCTCCTCCAAGGGTTATCAAGGAGCACAGACAACGTGCTCCCTCAGCAGGGAAGACAGCTACTAACATAAGACATGTCATAAATCCCCCTGTCACCCTCAAGCAGTCTCCACGCTTCCTCCAAAACTAAACATCTATATGAAAGGGGGACCCAAACACAACAGAATTTATTCATAGAAAAGTGTGTGTTTATTCTTCCATGTGTAAACTTCAGTCATCTTCCAAGTCCTCTCTGTTTGATGCATGACACCCATTGAGACGCTTTTTCCACAGCTCCACACAGTTTTTGAACTCGCCCATTTTTGTGTCTGTCAGTGCTTCCGCCATTTTGTGTGTGCGTGTGTGTGTATTGTGTTGTTTGTTTTGACTATGGTTGTCTTTCACCTCTCTCACGTTGGATTTTTTTCACCCGGAGACAAAAAGGAATTCGCTCGGGGTGAGATCAGGTGAATAGGGAGGGTGGGGCCAGGGGTCATGCTGCTTTTGGTCAAAAACTGCCGAACACTCAGCGTGGCGTGGGCAGGTGGGTCGTCGTGATGAAAGAACCAGCCACCTGTCTGCCACAACTCGGGATGTTTCTTCTGCAGATCACCTCTCACAACAATGCTCGTGGATACACTGATGCTGACGGGGGTCATAGAACACTTGCATAGTAGGGGGAGATTGTACTCCAAGGAACCTGTCCCCAAAAAGATTATTCTGGTTTTGGGGGGATCCCCCCCGGTATAAAACGAGAATCTTCAAGAAAAAGACGTTTGGACAGAGTTAACACCTTTTATGTTTCTTAAGGTATTTAAAGACCACGCAATTGATGGCGAAACGTTGCCATTACTCACAGAAGAGCATCTTCGAGGCACCATGGGATTAAAGCTGGGGCCGGCCCTGAAAATTCAATCTCAGGTAAAGCAGTTTACTAAACATTTGTGAATGGTGTGCAGCTCAGAGAAACGTGTTGCTTTTGTCCTTATTTCCGCTCTTTATTTTGTTTTTCCCCTCCGTGGGGACATGGTAGAAGGGAGGGACTCTAGCCACCCCGGGCGGGTGGTGGTTCACATTCTGGGTGTAGCTGGGAAGACAATAGGCCGGGGTGTGCTAGCAAGTGTTGAACAATGAGACCTTGAAAACAAAATGATCCAGTGCGGTGGCTCACGCCTGTCATCACAGCATTTTGGGAGGCTGAGATAGGAGGACCCCTTGAGCCCAGGAGTTTGAGAACAAGCTGTACCACACCTCTACAAAAAAACCAAAAGATTAGCTGGGTGTGATGGCACACGCCTGTAGTCCCAGCTACTCGAGAGGCTGAGGTGTGAGGAAGGCCTGAGCCCGGGAAGTGGAGGCTGCAGTGAGCTGTGATGATGCCACTGCACTTCAGCCTGGGCAACAGAGTGAGATCCTGATTCAAAAAAAAAAAATGAGCCCCGATTTACAGCATCTGACAGTGGCTGTGTGGAAGTCATTCCCAGCATGGCTGCCAAGCTCCTAATGTCGCTGAATCTGGAATTGGGAGAGACAGCAGCTTCCACTCAGAGTGTCTCCACCAGGCATGACTGATGTACTGTATCTTGGGTATGAGAGTGTAAATGAGGGCAGGCACGGCGGCTCACGCCTACAATCCCAGCACTTTGGGAGGCAAGACGAGAGGATTGCCTGAGCCCATGGGTTCAAGACCAACCTGGGCAACTTGGCCAGACCTCATCTCTACAATAAATCAAAAAATGTAACCAGGCGTGGTGGCGCACAGCAGTAATTCTGGCTGCCTGGAAGGCTGAGGCGGAAGGATGGCCGGAGTCCCGCAGGTCGACTCTGGGGTGGCCGTGAGTGTGCCATGGCACTCCAGCCCGGGTGACAAGGTGAGACTCCGACTCAAAAAACCAAAAATAGTGTAAATGTCCTCAAGAACAGAGATAATCAAAAACAGTAATAATAAAAGAGGTAAAAACAATTAAAGAGTGGTGAGCTTTGAGTATTGATTGCTTTTTGTTTACCACATAAGGTGTGTAATGATTAATTTTTTTTTTTTTTTTTTTGAGTCGGAGTCTCACCTTGTCACCCGGGCTGGAGTGCCATGGCACACTCACGGCCACCCCAGAGTCGACCTGCGGGACTCCGGCCATCCTTCCGCCTCAGCCTTCCAGGCAGCCAGAATTACTGCTGTGCGCCACCACGCCTGGTTACATTTTTTGATTTATTGTAGAGATGAGGTCTCGCTGCCCAGGTGGGTCTTGAACCCCCGGGTTCTGGCAATCCATTCACCTCAGCCTCCCAAAGGCGTGGGATTACAGGCTGAGCCACTGAGCCCGGCTGGCTAATTTTTTGACTTACTGTAGAAATGAGGTCTCACCAAGTTGCCCAGGCGGGTCTCGAACCCACGGGCTCAGGCAATCCACTCGCCTCAGCCTCCCAAAGGTGTGGGATTACAGGCTGAGCCACCAAGCCCGGCTAATGATTAGTTTTTAATTTAGTTTTTAACAACGGGGTCTTTCACAGCTGGCCTGCAAACTTACTAAAAGTTTGGCGACGGGCTGCTCGCTCCAGCAGGCGCCAGGCCAGCCCGCATTCTCCCTCGGTGACCTCAGCACCAGGCCGCCCATCCTCCGACCCCAGGGACCTGGCTGCCCCTCATCTTGTCTCAGGCTCCACCTCCCCCAGGACTTCCCTGCCCGTTGCCCTCCCCTCCTCCTCCCGCGGGCGTCCTCACTGTCCCTCGTCCGACCTCAGGCTCTGCTCTCCCCTCCGGTGACTTCGCTGCCGACCCTGTCTCCGGCTCCCGCTCTCCGCAGACAGCATTCACGCCCCTCGCCCTGTCTCGCCCTCGCCCTGTCTCGGCCTGTCCTCTCTCTCCGTCGCCCGCGCCTCCCACCGTCTGTGCTTCACTCTGGCTGGAGGAAAGGCTTCGCAGACCTCACCGTCACTCTCACCATTTTGTCTCCGAAGGTCTCCCAGCACGTGGGCAGCAGGTGCTACCGGAAGAACCTCTCCCTCTCGGCCTGTCCAAGACAAGCGCTCGCCGGGCCAGCAGACACCACCCCCCTCGCGGATTTCCACGCCTGGAGCGACCCGCAGGGCATCCCTTGTTCCCAGGAGATGGGGACTCCCGGAGGAGCTGGGCCCGACAGTCTGGGAAACTGACCACCCTCCAGGAGGAAGAGCAGCCCTCCCAGTTTTCCAGAGTCCGGGATGGGACAGGGGTGTGTGAGGACTTCCTGGGCCCCGAGACAGGGCCAGGCTCCAGGCCGTCTCGGAAGAGGCCTGCCCAGGGACGTCCTTGGGAGCAAGTGCGATGAAGGAGAGGATTTGCCAACTCAAGAGAGTGCCCATGAGGAGATCTCCGGGAAGCCGAAAGAGCTGCAACGAAAAAGAGCGCTCCTCTCCCTCCTCTCATTTTCCATCCCCAGCCCGAAAGGCATGAAGACAGCCCAGTGAAGCCAGGAGAAGATGAGGGGAAAGGGAGACTCGGTGAAGAGGCCCACGACGGCCTCTGCCTGGTCTCATCTCAGACTTCCAGCCTGGAGCGAGGGGCAGACGCCTTCGCCTCAAGACTCTGAGCCTGATCACTGCTCAGGACTGGCGTTTATATCTGAAATGAAACTGTGTCACGGCAGAAAACAGCTGGAGGATACGTCCGAGAGGGAGATGAGAAGCCACGGTGCCCACCAGAGGTTTCGCCCAAGGTTGGGAAGGGCTGGCTCCACCAGGCAGGCTGGAACCAGCCGGGGGAGGCCGGAGAGGCCAGCGGCTTTCTGCTCCATCCCGTGGGGTCACAGTTCTTCAACGTGGCGGTTAACAGTGTGTCTCCGAGAGGACACACAAGAAAACATCGATTCGCTCAGGTTGGGAGCTGGCTGGTAGCATGAGGATGCCTCCTCAGTCCCGACCCTCTCCATACCTTTTGCATTTGTAACCGTGAGAATGTATTTCCTGTTTTACGAATTCACCCTCAAGACGAACCAACCCTAGTGGGCAGCTCTGAGATGCCCCAGTGATCCCTGCTTCCTGCTGCCCTCGGGTCTTCTGGGGCTGGCCACAGATGTGGGAGGGGGCGTGAGGGCGCAGCTCCTGCCCACAGCTTGGTGGCAGCTCCTGAGAGGCCCTGAGCGGAGGCCCGGCTGAGCCACTCCTGGATTTCTGACCCACACAATTGTGTGAACATAAATGGGTTTGGCCACTAGGTTTTGAAGTGATTCGTTCCACAGCAAGAAAGTACTGGAACAAACAAATGAGATTTAGTAAGCACAGCTCACATGCTACCCACATCCACTTTTTGATCTGGAATCATTTGCTTACCAGCCAGGCTTATTGAGTTGAGCTTTGCTTTCTTTCATTTTTACGATGAAGACAACAGCATTTATATCTGACATGAATTGTGCTGTATCGTCAAATACGCTTGTGAGTCACCAGTTCACTCTCTTGGTTTCTTTGCTGAGAGAGAAAGAAAGAAAATCCACCCGAATTTCAAAAGTTTATTAATTTTGTGTAAGATTTAAGATGGCACCCGGGCTGGGTGGCTCAGCCTGTAATCCCAGCGCTTTGGGAGGCTGAGGTGAGTGGATTGCCTGAGCCCGTGGGTTCGAGACCCGCCCAGGTAACTTGGCGAGACCACATCTCTACAACAAATCAAAAAGAGCCGGGTGTGGTAGTGCGCGCCTGTAGTTCCAGCTCCTTGGAAGGCGGAGGCGGAAGGATCGCCGGAGCCCAGCAGGTCGAGGCTGCGGTGGCCGGGAGCAGCCACTGCACTCCAGTCCGGGCGACAGAGTGAGACTCCAACTCAAAAAAAAAAAGATGGCAATAAGCCGATAAATAATGAGTGTTAGGATTTTCACCAGAAATAACTTGAAAAAATGCCTCCCTCTCTCTTCCTCTTTTTGTTGATATGTTAGAGCACCGCTTGGTCACACATCTCACCTCCTGTAGTTCCCAGCACACCCACGTTTCACAAATGCCAGGTGTGAGTCCCAGATGCTGTGATGGGGGATAAACAGAAAAGTTTTGTTAGTATTTTCAGTGGCAACAGCATCATGTGGTTCAATCCATAAGATGACTTTTGGATTTCGTATTCCTGCTAAATGAGTTCACAAAGTTGGGAACAGATTGATTCGAACAGATGTGTCCACATTGCTGTAAGGAAAATGTCCTGACATGTGCCGTCACCACAGAAAACGCTGTACTTAACTGTAGATGCGTGCGCTAAAAGAACCAGAAGAACTCATGCCAAGGAGGCTCTCCCAGCTCTCAGCACCCATCATTGGGAGAAAATAAAACTGAAGTAGCTTGTCCAGACCAAGAATGCTTCTTTCCCTCAACGACTTCCAGTTAAAGGGCACCTTCTAGCAAAAGGGACACGACTAACAGAGGTGATTTTGGAAGGTGACGCTCCTACATTACCATGTAGAAATAGTTTTCGACCTTTCCTCAAATGCTACTTTAGGCTTGAGCATACTCTGGGCTCTTTATCAGAATAAAAAACAAGCAGCAACAACAACGAAAAACCTCTCCTTTGTTTGAAAACCAATCACAATGAAATTCTGTTTGATAAATAGGGTATGAGGACTTCTGAAAGATGCTGTCTAGACTGATTGAGCAAACATCCATACACAAGAGTACTACAGCTGGTTTCTCCATGGAAGTGTCATAGCCACTGAAAAGAAATAACAGAATTTGAATGTCACCATTTTGTAACCCTAAAACATACATAATCTAGACAATAATCGTAAATGGCTGCTAATATCTCAAAAAGAGAAACACCAGACATTATGTGGAAATCCATGAAGCCCCCACATGTAATAGTCTTGCTAAAAAATAATAATTATAACCTGAATCTAATTAAGTCACTAGATTCAAAAACCAATTTGCAAGAAATATGGGCAGACGAAGGAACTTGTTAAACATCACTGTAGTTATAAAAATAGTCAAGTTCAGATTGTGGGAAACTGTGTAGGAGCAATGACCTGATTTCCTTCAACAAATCAATTGCAAGGAAAAACAGAAAGGGAGAGGGAAATTTTATTAATTAAAAGATACTTAAGATTCAACTCACCCAAATATAAAAGTTTCGAAAATAGTGGTGATGGTTGCACAAAATTGTGAATGTAATTAATGCTACTAAACTATATGCTAAAATCACAGCATTTATATTATATATATTTTTTTACTTTACTACAATAGAAAATTTTTTAATCCAACTCATTCAATACAATCATAAAATTTATTTAAATCTTTATTCAAGCCGGGCGCAGCGGCTCAAGTCTGTAATCCCAGCACTTTGGAAAGATGAGGCGAGAGGATTGCCTGAGCCTATGGGTTGAGACCAGCCTGGGCAACTTGGCAAGACCTCGTCTCTGCAGTAAATCAAAATATTAGTTGGGCATGGTGGCACACATCTGTAGTTCCAGCTACTTGGAAGGCTGAGGCTCAAGGATCACCTGTGCCCAGCAGGTCCAGGCTGCAGTGGCCATGAGCATGCCCCTGTACTCCAGCCTGGGGGACAGAGTGAGACTCCAACTCAAAAAAACACACAAACAAACAAAAACTTCATTCAAACACACTGTCTAAAAAATGAAACAACTGGGAGAATTGAAATACAATTGGGAGTATTCAATAATATTAAGCAATAATTATTTTTTAAACTTCTTACTTTTTTTTTTTGAGTTGGAGTCTCACTCTATCGCTCAGGCTGGAGTACCGTGGCATACTCATGGCCACTGCAGCCTCGACTGCTGGGCTCAAGTGATCCTTCTGTCTCAGCCTTCCTAGTAGCTGGAACTAAGGAGCTCGCCAAGTGGCCCAGGCTGGTCTCGAAACCCTGGGCTCAGGCAATCCTCTCGCCTCCACCTCCCAAGGTGCCAGGATTACAGGCATGAGCCATCACGCCTGGCAGACTTCTAACTTTTTTAGAAATACATACTGACATATGTACAGATAAAATGATATATGTTGTGTCTGAGATTTGTTGGATCCTGCCCACAACCTGATTAAGTCTGCCTGTCGGTATTTTATGGGGACTGGCGGAATACACAAGCCTTGGGTTAGTAGAGGCAGAGGACACAGTTGCAGCACGGACATCAGCACATATGTGGCTTCCCTCTGTCTCCAGGTGCCATGGGAGTCACACAGGTGGGCCTAGAGTGCCTGCATGTGTATGGGCTTGCTGCACAGCTGGGGAGCCCTGCACGGGGAAGAGCTAGCAGGAAGCAAGCCTGTGGGTTGCCGGGGCCGGAGAAGAGATGTGACTTCGCTTGCCAAGGTTACCAGCTGCTGAGCCAATGCTAAGAAACAACCCGGTACAAGAACAACCAGGGCCTTGCAGTCTTGGTCCATGCAGTCAGATGTGCAGACACAAGAGGCCCAAGGAAGTGTGCTCCTCCCAACAATAGCCTGATGTGGATTTGCTTCCAAACATCCATCGAGAGAGAAGGATATAGACAAGTCACTGGGAGTGTGGGTGAAACAAGTCTGGTCACGAGTCCATGATTGTTGAAGCTGAGGTTTGAGTACGTGAGAGTCACTGTCCTACTCACGCTACTTGGGTGTGTATATTTGAAATTCTCCATTCTAGAAGTTTTAAAAAACTGTTTACTAAATATCTACCATAGATCTATAAGAGTTATAGAATAAGTGTGGATACTAATGTTTAAAACCACAGTATATTTTTTATTTGTATTTTTTCATAGAATCTGTGACTCAGAAAAACCCAGTATATTTAAAAATACATATTTGCTACTTAAAATACAAGAAATATTTTATTCTGTCCACTACTACTAAAAATGTAATTCAAGCAAATGCAGCTCTCGTTATAGCAAATGTGTACACTGTCCTTTTGTTACAGATACCTGAAAGGTCTGTCTTACAGAGTTGCAGTCAATTCACTGCACTTATCCGGCCTGTCCTCTGGAAAATGAATCCCTCTTTACACAAGTCAACACAAGGTCCAAGGTCTGCGATGTGTCTGATGGGAGCCACAAGGCGTCATTGTGCGGCTATGAAACGAGTCTTCTTGGTGAAAGACACAGCTCACTGGAACGTCACTGAGTGCCATTTTGAAAGTGTCTGCATACGTTTAGGCTGTGCACACATTTTTTTAAACTACATTTCATCTTCCTCTTTGGCTCATTCCATAATAGGTGATTTCATTT